GAATTTATACCTTTCGACTTTACTCCCGACAAGACTATTGAAAACAAAATTATTACATATAACTTGAAGAATTAAAAATGCTTAGATATGAGTTGAATGACTTACGAGCTTGTAATAATTTTTTTGTAATTTCTCCTTGATTTTTTAGATCCGCATCAGTCTCCATCCATTCAAGCCATGCTCCAGGTTTCATAACACGGGCAACTTCTTGAATAAGCATCGATTCCCATTGTCGCATCGTGAAACAACCATTTAAAAAATGCATAACCACAAAATCAAATTCACCGCTTTTAATTGGTATCCCGTTAAGGATATTGGCTTCTATGAATTCAACATTATTTGGCGGCTCTCTTAAGGTTGAAGTGATATCAATATCAACACCTGTGAATGTGCATGATGGATATGTTTTGGCCATTTCGATTATCCATGTTCCTGGACCACATCTAAAATGATTATTCATTTAGAGATTGGTAGAAGTGAGGACGAAAATACTTGAATGATGCTTACCCAACATCCAATATTTTTAATCCACCAGCTTTTAAATGACCTTCGATTGGTGCAGAGAAATTCCCTTGCCATACAAGTCTTGCTATGATTTGTTTTTTCTCATTTTTATCTAAGTCAACTGGGAATACACTAGGAATATCTCGATAAAATTTTCGGCCGCCCACGTATCGAAATGCTGAATCCGTTGGACTTGATAGATATTCATCACTACTTATGCTAGAAATTTCTTTAACGGGTGGTTTGATGTTATGCCGTTTTGATTTTTTTGATTGTTGGTTTCCCATTTTTTGATATAGATAATAAATAAAAAATGAATTAATGAATGAATGAATGAATGATCACTTTAAATAATTTAAATATCAACGGTGTGATATTGACGTTATTGAATAAAATTTATCGAAAAAATTTAGGTTTAAATAGAATAAAATCAGCAAGACGATTAACTAATCTACTTAGTGAGCACTCATGTAGTAACACATAGTACCATCACTGAAAATTTCCTGTAATATCGATATGGAAAGTTTACAGGATTGTTTTGTATTTTAAATTTTTAAAATGTGCGAATTTTTGTGCCGATCATTATCAAAGGATGTTTTATTAATTTATGAATGAAAATCATAACGCAAACATATATTATCATTATTATGATTTTTATTATTGTTGTAACGGTAAAATGCATGCTAACCAATGGATTTACCGATGTTTTTTTGCATCAATTAAATATTATGCAGTATACGTATAATTAAGGAATAATGATAACATCACTGCTTTTTTTTATTTTTGCGCGATGCTCGTGCCGTGAGGAAAAATTGGCTTCCAATGTGGAGTAAAGCGCGGGAATGACATTGCATTTTCACCTTATAGAAGCAGCCACTTAACCATTAAAATACATATTAGTAACTGATAACGTAAATGTTTTGTCATCGATTCGTGATACATGTAGAAATGAATATTTCCACTTTTCGCAGATCCGTATTATTAAGATTTTGAGTTGCATCCCATTGGTTTATACGTGCATCTTTTTGATACGCTAAACGGAAAAGGAAATTAAAAATTTGCAGGCTTCTTTTTGAGGGGTCTAGATATTCTTGTCACATGCCAAGTAACTCATTGGATTTGTAACTACGTAATTCAGCGTATGTTGATTATGTTTTTTTTCCTTATAGTATTATTGTGCTACATTATAGTCCTATAGAAGCGTAAAATTATATAATACGTGTAAGACAACATTGAAAATAAGTGTTTTTTCCGGATTATACACAATATTTTAATATAAGGCACTTAGATTAAAAAGATTACTTACTATGTGAGACACTTATATTTTGTGTTTTTTTGCAAGCCACTTAAAGAAGATTAATCACTACCTTGTTCAAATTTGTCTAACGTTAACTATAAGCGTATAGATCTTCTTAATTAAAACTTTAAACATGCAACAATTATTCCTTAAACTGTAATTTGCATAAATGTTTATTCAAATAACTTTTTTCAATGAAAAAATTATATTGTGCGTTTTTATGCCTTAAAAATACGTCTTATTGTTGTCGTTGAACAAACCTGTGAAGCCGAAGTACTAATCAAACACTTGCTTCAATAGTAAACCAGCTAACTTTTTTATCTTGGTGAGGTACACCCGCAAAAAAATGTATATACATGTACATGTTGTATCAGCATTTATGCGTGTTTGAATGATGTATGTAAAAAAAAAAGAAAAAATTAATGAGAGATCGTCGTCGTTAACATGAATATTAATTCAAATCTTCCAACACGTTTCCAAAAGAACGTTTGTTCGTTTTATGAACTTGAAATTTAATTGCAGCCAATATTATCTAACTTTCTGTATTCTAGAGTCATACAGTATGTATATGCAAACAATTTTTTTTAATTCGACTTCGTAGATAAGGTACAACATTTTTTCAATAACGAACTGGCACCATCCAAGAATATGTCATATGCAAGATCTAGATAATGACTCCACAAAATGTTCACTTACCTGTTATAATCTCGTGCATAATCATTCCAAACTTATAATATCTGCGACGTTACCATTTAGCACCTCTGAACTAGATTGCAAATTAAAAAACAACTATCATCATGATGATCAAATTTAAAAAAAATTAAAGAATTCGGTAACTTTGGGATGCGAAATCTAGACATCCGGACAAATTCTTTAATTTTTAAATTTGATCATCCGATTTTTTAAAATTTAATTTTTCAATAGATTCTTTTGATTATGAATGCCTTTTATCATTAATATTTGTAGTCATGTAAAAAATTTCGTATAGATCATTTTTATAATGTAAACTGTAAAAGCACATCATCGTTATGCAAACACACAAATCACGTTACAAACCATACGGATTCTGCAAATTCTGCATTTGCAGAAAACTGGACATTACTCTGAACTCATTTAAGGAAATACTCCACAAATGTCTTTATTAGATTTTTTTATATTTATGCTTCATCCAATTTGTGAAGGTTCGACATTATCTTTATAGGATGGAAGTCACGGTGTACAGACTTTTTCTGTGAATTCCATATTAATTTTCGTAGTTGGAATAATATAATCAATAGAAACGGTATAAATTGTATTATAATATCTAATACAATTTATACATTTCTATTGCACCGGTCCATATTTTTACATAGATCACGCTATCGAACATTCATTTGTAGCTGGGTTTTCAGTTATTCCATTTAAAAGTAGTCTGAATCAATTTTTTAAATGTATCAGTAAAAAAGTCATTTTTCACCTTAGAAATATTATTTATAAAATCGGAAGTAATTTGCTTTGCTATAATTTCAACACAACTTTCTCATTCTCAAAGCTTTTAATTATTAATTCCATTAGCAAATGACTCCTTACAACTAGGCGTTTTTACAATTGTCCCAAAACATCTTTTAAAAGATATCCAACGTTTTGTTGATAAAGGGAGGGAGAAATTCGAAAATATTTATAATCTTGTCAATTATGTTGCATTCACTACAATCATGAGCTGAATACTCATTCAGTATGAGAACTTCATTTTATCTTTGATTTTACCTTATAAAATGTGTGATTATATTGATATAGTAGCAAAAGATACTATATATGTAAATCGGGTAGCAATTTACATTTTAAAATATTTTACTTCAATTTTATAATTTTATAACTTAGAAATGGAGTTATCTATTCTAATTCAAATTATAATTTATTAGCATTCGTCAACCAATCAAAATTGAATAAATAATACATGTATGTGTAACCTTCAATATGGGATTATTTAAATTTTCATTCGATACATGCGATCACGCGATATTAGTCAATTACAAATCATGTGAGCTTGCAATGGTAAGCAACTCAATTATTTTTCAAAATTATTTTTTATAATACAAATATGTAGTTTATTCTCAATTAATAATAAATATCATTTATATAATAAAATTTTAAAATATTACAATTTAAAAATTTTTTACGTATTTAATTATATAAAATGTGGACTTAAAAACTTTACATAATCTCAAGATTTCATCAATTTGCTTAGTTTTTATAAACTGCTCTCCATATCATAGATTGACTAAAAGAATTGCAGATGTGACAAAAATTGAAAACTAGATTAAATGATTTATAAAACAATCTTATCTTCTACGAAAAATTGGTTTGGAATCAATGCATATTTTTAAATTTGTATCTGTTTTATAAAGCAAAAGAGAAAATGATATGAAATTAAAGTATAATAAACAAAAGAACAATTAATGAATGTTTTATCATATTAATGATTTTCATGTCCATCAGCAAAAAACTTTAAATTATTTATTATAAAATCAACTCCAAAGATCATCTTTATATTTTTTATAATCCCAGAAAAAAGAACCACCAGCTCATGAACAATTTTGAGTAGTTTTTCGAAAAAATAAAAATCTGTTATTCTTTCATGTGCTTCTTTCCGGGATTTTGAAGCTTCAGATTTTGAAGCACTCCTAATAATGATTTAAAGACAAATAGTAAAATTATTAAAGTATCTAAAAGATAAATACATACCATTGTTGAGAGTCATTTTTTATATTATATGTAAAGAATCTTTTTGCATCTAGAACACTTCTTTCCCATGTGCCCTCATTATATGATTTTTCAAATTTTATTTCCCAGATACTGATCTATTCAAAAATTAATATTTTTAATATAACTAAAAGAAAAATGCTTACATATGTTTGCAAATATCGCTATAAAGAAATAAAATAGTTGATACTTATTATTAGCATTAACATAATCTTCATTTTTTTATCATTGAATAACTTTTTAACAAGCTCATCATTCTTTGAAGAAATTTCAAATATTTTATCTGGAATCTGTTTAATTTTTTATATATTGTTGGATTGAATATTTCTTGTAGTTTTTTGTGCTTGTGTAAAGTTGATTATGAGAGAAAATGATAGATGATTTTAATCAAGTTTATGTTAATTTTTGCAAAAGATTTACAATTTGATCATAGCGAAAAATAATTACGGATCATGTGTTTTTTAAGGGTAATATGAAATGTTAATAGAGGCTAAAGTTAGGAGTTAAGATTAAATTGCATATTGTGCGCGCGAAATCATGTGCAAGGAACCTTTTTTAGAACACAGATAGAAGTAGTTTCATAAACAAAACAAAGTTATTTTTCAAAATAAATGTTTGAATTTATCCGTTTGCGCATTGATCTTGAGATTTGATTGGTTTAACACTTATGGGTTGATTCACGAATTGATGCTGGACATCATCCAAAAGAAAGAATATTATTTGTATTGGGTAGTTACTAAAGAAGTTATGGTCTTATAATTCCTAACGCGACTGTAGTAAGGATACCGAGATCAAACACTTAGTGTTGGTCGTGATTTATTAATTATTTGCCACAATTACGAAGTGTCACAATGCTCTGGATTATTAACTACATGTACATGTACATAATCGTATTCCAAAAATGGCAGAGGTTTTCTCTCTTAACGTTAAGGAATTTACGTTACTAGGTAATGACAAAAGTATCCGGACAACTTGAAAAATCAACGAACTTTAAACATCAATTGCAGCACACCCATGTATCCAATATTATTATACTTTTCTATTGTATGCGCCTAATTTTCTAGTTTTAGAAAATTAAATTTTTCAATTTTTATTTATAAATTTTCGGCGTTATGTGTAAAAAGCACCGATCAATAATTATTTGCGAAATTTAATTGAAAACAGATGCTTATATCTATCTTCGTAATCAACTATTCAATTATTTGATTTTTTTATTTGATTCATCTTGATTTCTAATTTCAGAAAATATTTTTTTCATGTTTTTCATAATAATCGTTTTGAGTAACGCCTAAAAGCTCAGAACTTACAGATTTTAAATGTTAGTTATGAAACGACAAAGAAACAATAAGTGAAAACGGCAAAATTTTAAGACACCTAAATTCATAGTCGGTAATGTAGTAAAAACACGAAACGTGTCATTTGGTAAGATGTTATTTATTTAGCAATTTACAATTCTTGCATACATTTTGGCATATAACTCCCTATATCATATGCTAACAGTATTCTAGTTAAAATTGAGGCTTAATCTGTTTCCAGGTTTTCTAGTGGTTCGTATATGTGAGCAATGTTTATTTATATGCTAGTCAATGATCCCCGATTAACTACTTGAGCTCATTTATAAAGCAACTTCAAATATGAATTCAAACTGAGCTGCTTAGAATAACATCCATACTAGTACATTCGCTAGGTATTGAAATGGGAAAGTGAGGCCGTTATAATACATTTTTTTGTACGAACAATTAGTATCAGAACATATTTGTCGGCAATTCACTAATTTGAAGACTAAAAATTTCAGTTACAGAAAGCAAAGTAACATTTATCAAAGAATAATTTATTAAAAAGGCATTAATTAATTAATATCTAATAATACACATCTTAATAGTACATATCTTTTATACATGTAAACGAAGAATTACAAATTGTCATTTTCTAATAAATAAATCTTCTAATGCATGATTTATAAACGAAGAAAAGCAAATAGTTTGTTTTAAACTTGTTTGACCCGAGCAGTTCCATTGACAACATCGTCAACTTGACCATTTTCGAACATCACTACACAAAGGTTACCTACGAGACTGTCAAATGGAACGGAACCGGCTGATAGATCACATTGAAAAGGTTGATTGATTTGGTCAGCAAGACAGTTGTCAAAATCGTGGATGGGCTGATCTTTCGTAGCGACACTTCGGATTACATGGAAATCGTAGTTGGACGAAGAGCCATTAACTGTATTGAATTGGCCGGTGACCCTCACTGTGCAATTGGTGAATCGTGTAAAAGTAACCATGCCGAGAACTTGTTGCGATTTATTTCCCTTTTGAGGTTCAAATGTGCAATAGTCGACTGTCTGATTGCATGTTGGAGCAGCTCTCTTTAAGGGCGTGGCATTAGCCGATGAAGAGAAGACAAAAGCGAAGATAGTCAAAGTAACCAAGAAATTGATGAGAGAAATTTGCTTGCTCATTTTAATTAATGTGTTTTTTTGAATGTTATTCTTGGAATTTGATGCTATTCTTGGAATTTGATGCTCTTCAATGTTGAAAAGGGTCTCCTTTTATAGATGAGAGAAATAAGATACTTTCATATTTTCGAGATGATGAAGTCCTCCTCATCATGTGTGTCTAAGTCATTGATTTCAATTAGCGTAGACTTGCTTTATCGAATTATTAGAAAGATGGATACCACCACCCCTCATTTGTCTATGAAAATTACCAATTTTGATTAAGTGATACGCTGTATGTTAATCGAATCGTTCTGTCGTACATACAAACGTAATATATTTTTTCTTTTTAAGAACATATTGTACGTAATTGTTTGGTCATGCCTCGAGCAACCAAATTTTAATAATTTTATTAATTATATCATTCAAAAAAAGAGAAAAACTCACTATACTTTAAATAGATTAAGATACAAAAATATGATTTCATTTTCCAAATTTGGATCTATTTATTAATTCTTTATCTTTCCAAAAATGTAGGATGCTCGAGCCAAGCTATGCATATTCATTATGAAGTAGGTTATTATTTGATGATCATCTAAAAGAGAAAATGGTTAATGTAAATGGAGAATAATTAATTATCTTTATTAGAAAGCAAATTAATTTTCTCCCGTTTTTTGGTATTACTAAATGGAACAAAACCCTTACATAAACGCATTTTCCTACATTGTAGGCTAATGACCTTGAAATGATTTAAAAGTGATATCATATGACGTATTGTAAATTTAATATGAAGGGTAAATGATTGTATTCTTTAATATGTATTATCCATAAGACATTGTTCCAAAATTTTAATTGGGGGGGGGGGTCTTCAAAAATCTTTATTCTTAATTGAAGTTGAATTGAGGATGAAAATTTTATGAATTGACAAGCTCATTTTTTCCAAATATTGATTGATGCGCTAAAATTTTTTATATAAGAGGTGAACGGTGACGTATTTTAAGCTGATATTGTTTCTATATCATTTATTCCAGTATGCTTTGAAGATAGGAGTCATACGGTTTTTAACATAATTTAATGTTCTATTTATTCTATTTGACAATTAATAAAATATATATGCATAATACATACCATATTACTTATTATAATAATTAAATCAAATTTTTTCTAAATAAACTTTTCTATAATAAATTTAGAAAACTCTAGATTTTTCTTATTCATTTTCTTTAAATAATTATTAATTCTATTTTTTCAAAACAATAATCGTTCCATTTGATTCTCTTGATATCAATGCAATATCATTATTATTTGTTCACGAAACTCCAAACATATTTAAACTATATTTTTTTAGTCGAATATATCCGATGAAGAATAGTTTACTGAGAAGCTTCCTTGAATTCCAATTTGAAGTATGAATTGAACCTTACTATAAGAGAAGCACATCTGTAAAAAGTTTGTATTTGGTGTATGGGTTACATGACATATTCTGCATGCCTGATTTTAATATAACATATAAGACATTTCATAGTTCCGTATTTTTTATGTACCATGTGGATATTTTCTTAAAGTATTGTTTAGAGATGATTACATATGTCAAATAATTATTTATTCAGGAAATAAATAATTATTAGCGCTATTTTAGAAAAACAGTAATTTATATGCATTATAAGAAAAGAAAATAAATATAAATATATCATTACAAAGTTAATCAGAGAAAATAGTAATATTTTCTAAAATTGGAATTGGCTTTTTAATATCGTTATCTTTCAAAATTTCAAGTTCATTAAACCGTTAATCATAAAGTTAACGTGTTCAGCAGTAGGTCGTTCCTTTGGATCTGAATTCATGGATTGATTTGCAAGGAGTCTGGATGCAAACTTCGGTCGCAATCCTCCATTATGTGTAATAAAATACCAAGATTAAATGAATAACCATCAAAAGCTCTTTGTCCACTTGATATTTCTGACATTATGACTTCAAAATTGTAAATATCCGCTATTTGACCCTCTAAATATCGGCGCAACAAAGGTTAAAACCCAAAAGATATTTACATCTTGTTTCTGTTACATGATATTGAAAGTCTTAGATAGCAATATACATACTGTATAATCATCTTATAAAATATTACCATTATGTAAATCCTGACATATAAATACTTGCAAAAGAATTGCTATAAAACAGAAGTTATGCCATATAACAGTTTAACTTTTTTCTATTTATTTGTTATATAAAGCGAAGATTGGCATAAAAAGAAACTCTTTTAACATCTTTAAAACATGCTTTAAAACAAGTATATATTTTTTAGAGATTTCATCTCATGATATTCCATGACATTTTAAAAATGAAGAATACATCTACAGCTTTAAATTATAAAGTCAAAATAAATAAATATAACAGTGATGTTTAAAAATGACAATTAGTTTTTTGCTTATAAACAATTAAATAATTATTCAAATAATATAAGCATTTATATATATTTGTTTAATATATAGAGAACAAAGTTTACGTAAGTCATAAATATATAAAATTTCAGTAAAATATTTATAAATTTGCATTTTGTATTTAAAAATTAGTTGCAAAATCAATTATAAAAATTTTTAAAAAAATTAATTAAAAATAATTTTAATAAGTTATTATATACTTAAGTAAATTTGTTTATTATATTACAAAGAAAATATTATTAAATTTTTTGTAATCTTATTATGAATATAAAGTTTAAAAGCTATTTATACAGAATATATAGTTGAAAGTAAATAGTTGAAAGTGAATAATTTTAATTTAATTTTATAACTTAATATTATTATTTTTTTGATATTAAAATAATTTTCAAAAATATATATATCTTTAAATAATTAATTTAATTTATATAAATTATTAATATATATTACTTAAAAAAGTAATACTTATAATCTAATTATAAGAAATAATAATTATAAATAAAATGAATAAAAAATAAATAATTATAAATAATAAATACTAATTTAGAAAATAATTAATTAAAAATAAATTAAATATAATAAAAATTCTAAAGAAAATTATATTATAATTATAATAATTCAAAATATTAGATAATTTTTCATATAAAAGTAAGATAATATAATATAGTATTTTCTTGACATGACATAATAATATAATATAGTAACTATAGCTTAATAAAAATTAAAAATTATAGAATTATTATATTTTTATATAAATTTAATACTTTATTATTATATAATAAAATAAAATATAATTTAAATTATTTTTTATAACTATATATTTGATATTTTTCTTATTAAAAATATATCAAAATATTAATTTTATTAATAAAATATAAAATAATCAAAAAATTTTTTCTAGATTAATATTTATAATTTTATTAATTTTATTAAGAATAATTTTTATTTTTTTATTAAATTAAATTTATAAATTTATAATTTAATTTATTTTTCAAATTTTTTCTGAAAGATTTATTTTAATTATAAAATTTTTCTAGTTAAATTTTGGTTTTAATTAAAAAAATCTTGTATAATTTTATAATTAGAATAATTCTTTCAGAAAAAATTTAAAATATATATTAGACTATAACTTATAAACTTAATTTTATATTATTACAAGCTATATTTAAAAAGATAGATTTTATTTGAAATATAACTTATAATATATAAAGTATAACTAAATTTGTAATCTTTCTAGTTACGTAATGTAATATATCCAGATAATTCACAAAGAAGAATCAGATGTAGTATTATATCAGGAAAATTCACACAGAAGATTCAAGATATAAACGAAGATATTTGAAGTAGAATTCACACAGAAAACTAAATCAAAAGCAGACAAGAGATTATGTTTTTAAAAAAAAAACTTATTCTTTATTTGATGTATTGATACTTAAAATTACAGAACAGAAACAGCATCTTTAAATAATAAAATAATGTTACATAAAATTAAT